AAAAAAAAAAAAAAAAGAATGAACAAACCTCTTAAAGAGCCAATATATATCACCATCAAACAAAACGTTGAATTCCCTACCGCTTGCCCTCCCCTATCTCTTCCTTTCTTTCCCCTTATCCTTGCTCTTCAGCCTCCCTGCCGTCCCCAGAAGATTTCTTCTCAAAAGAGAAATGAATGCTACACTCAAAATTTCAGAAGTGATGTCCATTTTTTGTATCAATGAGATAAAAAAGTGCTTTAAAAAATCAAAAACAGCAAAAAAAAAGAACGAATTAAAAAAAAAGGCTAAGAAAGTATATACACAGTGAATGTTGTTTTTATTCGATTCATTCCGCACAAAATAGTTACTGAGCACAGCAACTCCTCACCTGCAACTTCTTTCTCTCTTCCTTCCCCTATTTAACCCTCCAAGAATTACAAGATTAAGAATATGCCAACGAATTTCAGTTAGTATTTGTCTTACGCACTTGTTAAAGTGACCAGTAACTTTCTTCTCCAGGAATTAAATTTCTTAACGTATTTTTTCAGTCGTTATTCTGGAAATGTTTTTCTTTCAACTTAACCGCCACTTTTACTTCTGTTGCCAATACCACTGTTAGAAGTGTCCTACACAACTTCTTTTTTTCTTGCGTCATTTCCATTCTTGAGAATTGAATTCAAACTTTTTTCTTATATAAAGCTGACAAAAGAAAAAGTACGCGTAAAGTTGATAAAACAAGGTAATTCTTCTGAATGACTATCCACTGAGAAACAAATCCTCAAGACATCAAAAAATAATTTTGTAAGTTTTTATAACAAAAGCCAAATAGTGCAACCTGTACTGGGAAAGAAGGAGAGAAGGAAAAAAAAAGAAGAAAAATCATTTTGAAATGCATAAAAGTAATTTTGCACCAGTGTTCTTAAAAATAAATCGACCAACAAATATACAGGATAAATTGTTATTGTTTGCGACAAGAAAAGGTAGGCGTTAAATTATTAAAAACAAGTAGTGAGCAAGCAATAATAAATACTGTTTTACAATTTAAATTAAAACTGTCTAGTAAGAGTCGTACAACTGGATTTAGACAAGACAGGAAGAATCCGTTGATAGTCCGATGTTTCATTTCAGTGTTTCAAGTCATCTTGGCTAGTAACAGCCGAGTAAGTTGTGTGCAGAGATCGTAACTGTGGCTGATTGCTCTTGATTGCCTGCTTCGGTACTTAGTTGGTTGGTTAGTTGGTCCAGTTGGTAGTCACAGGGGAAAATGAAAACCGCTTGTTCAAAAACAACAAAAAATCAGGTTTAGAACCCCGGTTTTTCCTCTCTCTCTCACATTCTTTTCGTAAGTTCACAAATGACGTTAAGTACATTTGAGTAGAATAAGGACAACGGTCAGGAAGAACAACAAAAAAAGAAAGAAAAAAATGATCCATAGAATAGAACCAGCAGAATCTTCCTTTTTTGGCATCATTGAAAACAGCAAGGACCATCAGAGAAAGTATTTTTTGTTCCTCTAGTACTAAAAGATTTGACGCAGAAGGTGAAAGGGTATCAGGACACCGGAAAACTGTCGCCTTCGTAAATTCACCTTCCATGTGACACCGCCGTAATGCGTCATTTATATCAATGATGCTATTCGTGACGGACGCTAATCGACAAAAAAAAAAAAAATAAATAAAGCACAATAAAAAGTAAAAAGTAAAGAATGAAACTCATTTATAAAGTTTCTTTTCAAAAAGTTAGTTTTTTTTTGCTTTAGCTTCGCCTTAGCTTTTGTTTTTGTTTGTTTAGAAGTTACTTTCAGTTACTAATGAACTCTGTTTATAAGATGTCGTTTCTTCCTTTCAATTTATTTTTTTTCTTGCCAAAGCTAAAAAGCTACTTTCAAAAAAAAAAATGATCCACTGGGTGTGTATTTTTTACATTGCTGCCCATTGCTTTTTACAGCATCCTTTATCTTACCGGATCAAAAAACTGTTGTCACAAATATATAAATAAAGAAAAATTTTTTTTTGCTAATAGAGCATAAAAGAAGTTTGTGTATCAGCAAACGGTGACAAAAATAAAACAAAAATATGCGAAAAGTTTTTTGTGGTACAGTGTTGAAACACTGTTGG